ATGCCATATTAATTGTACACATTCATACATTGTATTATCTTTCGTTCACAGCTAGGTAGAGATACATGATTTGTTATTGTTGTTGGTGGTGTTGTTGCCTATCTTATGACACATTGCACACGCTATCGCCATTAGAATACCCGCTGCATTCGTGTACTTATGAAATTCATAGTAGACATATTGCGAAAGTAAATTTTAATTTTAATTAAGCTAATATGCATATTTATCAGTTTTTTAAAATAACAACTATAACAACAACTAAGCAATGGCATCGTATAAGAAACGCATCGTGTAAGCCTTAAGTTGTTTAAGATTGTTTTTGACAAGTTTAAATTGTATTAGACTTAAGAACTAGACAAAAAGGCAACAACAACAAGAACTTTAACATTTATCACGCAAATTTAAATGTCAATAGAAATATTGCCGTCAATGTGCTTTAAATGAAAAAATAGATTTTGCCAAATTTTCGAACAAAGGGTTAGACCCCACACTCAGTAGCTTTCCAGTTGTTTAGAAACCACCGCTGGACAACTCGCGACAACTTTTTACTCGTTCGAACTTATAAGCAGTTAATTGCTAAAGAATTTCAACCACAATAAAAAAGCGGTTTCGAAAAATAACATATCTAGAAAGCACGCATTTGTGCAATAGCAAAAGTAGTATACAACTCATATAATATTGTTTAGTATTTTTTCGCATTTAACTTCCGGCTCAAAGCGTAAATGTCGGCAATACGAAGCAAACAGATAAGAAATGAAGCGATGAAGCAACATGTGAATATATACTTGTACATATGCATTTTAGCATGCAACCCACATTGAGTCATACAGATAATGAAAAAATAAGGAATTCAAAGTTATCTCTTCTAAGCTATGATGCAATAAAACGGCAGTTGTGGAATTATGGAAGTTGTATTAATATTTTAGGTTCTTAGGTAAGCTTATTTGATTGCAAATTCTCTGAGCTGGAAAACAAGCCAAGTTCTTTAATTGATATTAAGATCTTTTTTTTCCTTTTTTCGAATTTACTCTTACGTTTTTTCAAATCTTTATTTTCGAAATTTGAAAGGCATAAATACGCGGTAAAGAGGTTGTTCAAGTGAAATGTCATAACTCTCCGTCCCAGTCGATAGCAATTGTTGCGTAAAATAAATTTCCAGTTGTCGTTCATTGAACTCACGACGCACTTTCGGCGCTGGTGACACCGACCGTTCAACCATTGCAATGCGGCAGCCCCACAGTTTAGTCACCCTTAGCCAACCTGATTTTGCCTGGCAGCGGCTAAAAAGCACGCTTATATTAACAATGCGGGGAAATTGAAACCGAAAAATCAGGCTAATGCATTTTCGTTGTTTGTGGCTTCGAGAACAAAGCACAATGTTTTTCCATTTTTAATTTCAGTTTAATACTTCTGAATTGACATTAGTCACGTACGAGAATGCCGGCGTTTTGTAATATGGTCAGTTCACAAGCTCATGCATATGAGTGTATGTTTGTAACCGTGTATGTGTGTGGTATGGGAAATCAATTTTGTAGCTGCTTTGGAGAAATTCGCTGTCTTTAACACCGAAATGTACCGCTAACTTAATTCGACAGAGAATAACTTATAAAACTTCGAAATAACACGCTTTCTTAATAATTACAAGCTGATGTTACTGACGCCTTCTTATTGTATGCGCTGGATCAACCGTAAATTTGTAAGAGTTCAACATGCCGCTAAGACAATAATTAGATTGTCATGGCAAAACCACCGACAGACGCACCGCAGTTTCCAATACAGCTGCTGCAAACTCATTACCACACTCATACACACGTAAAAAAGTATGTTGTCCGCTGCTGTTCAATCCAACTGTTACAGCGACAGGCTATTATTGCTTTCAACTCAGTTCACGTTTCATTTTTATTCCTTCAAACAAATGCGCCTACGACTCTTCTGTAATTCCTAAGCATAAATGATTTGTCAAAAAAGTCGGCATCTCTCTGCTCTCCTTCGTGTGTGTGTCTGTGCGCAATTTCTTACCGCCGCTCGACTCCTGCGTGAACTGCCATTCGTTGCCCCGCATGAAATCGTCGTCCGTTCGTTCGGTTCATTTGCCTCGTCACGTTAACCTTCAATAACTGTCTAGACGTTCACCGTTATATGCTGCATTAGTTATTTTCGAAATTTTGCGTATACGCACGGTAGTACCCGGGGTTAAGCAATTTTTGTATGCACATAAGTGTGTGTGTGTGTTATGTATGTTTAGATGTAAGGTCATCAAGGCACATAGGCACCACACAACGATGTCGACCATAAAGATTATTCAACTTTCAAACGTTACGTCGTTCTTGGCGCAAACGTCAAGGTCAAGCTGCCGGCCGGCAGGACATTTACCCAATAAGTTGCAAAAACAAAAATATAAAAATTTGTAAGACCGGAAAATTTCCAAGTTTAAACGCCAAAAAATTGGAAAAAATGCAAAATCTGCAGAGTAGTCACGCTCGTACGCACTTAATTTGCATTTTTGCAAGGTTTTTCATTACGCCTTGAATTTCAACGTTTTTTTTATGCATTATCTGTATTTTTCAAATTCTTATTATTTACATACAATATATTCAAATAACCTACACTCTTACCCTCAAATCCTTTTTCCACTACCGAAAATTCTACAAACTTCTTGCTGTACCCACGGCTCATTCACAGTCTCATCTCACCTAGCAACCAGAAATGACATACAGCCGTCACCTTTGAGTTCATGGCAATTGTCAAAGCGTATGCAAGCGGTCATGACACCTTCTAGGTAGACACACAGTCAACGTCAGCTATTGCCTCATTAAATCAATTTCATTGCCTTAAACCCTCTTCGCCCTGCAAGGAACAGCTTTTTATTCACAAGCATAATTTGGCGTCTCCTTGTATGGGTGGCAAACGCATTCCTGTAGCTGCGCCCGTCAGTGAAACAGTATTTTGCGCCAGACACATTTTTGAGGCCAAAAGACGACCTTGTATTTTACCACCATCTCAAACTCACGTCGTATTTCGATTTCATTTCGACCACAGCAGTCGGGACTCCGCGCTCTATACTCCGAACTTGGCACTGGAGGTACATGCCGCTACAGCCGTATACCATTCAAAGTGCTACGAATTCCAAAAATTTGCCATTGACTTCGTCTGCGTCTGCCACCTGTGCTCACACACGCATTAATCCTTCGGACATTTGTCCTTGAATTCGAACGTTCGCACGCAATTGCCTGCGTACGAAACTTTCAGCGGCTATTGGCTCGTACCTCAAAGCTCGTTTGTCTGCAGCAGAAGCTTTGTGGATGACTAAGCTCGTTTAGATGCCGACGAGTGTGCTTGTGTAAAATGTGTAGGCCAAACTTTATTAACGAATGAAACAACAGCAATACAAATGATGCGACCAAACGTCTGCCACATTCTGCCTACTCTACATGCCGTATTTAAATATTTGCTTGCATCTGTCTGTGACGCGTCGCTGCTGTGTGTCGGTGGAGGAAAAGGTTAAGCGCCTCATTTTCTCTGGCCGTTGGTAGTAGTAGCTTACATTACTACCTAGTATACATTAAGGCGCTTCTATTATGGCTTGTGTGTCTCTTATGACTACCAAGTGTACGTAACGCTTCGACTGTCTGTTGCCTAAATACTTACGGCTTTTACACACTGCCTACGTAACAGTTACGACTCTGCCCGCAATATTCGCTTCTATTAAGTCCTCAAACTTTTGTTTGATTTAGCATACGCTTGCTATACACTCGCATATTCTGTCAATGAACTTAGTGGGGGTTCCTGCATGCGGGGGCTGTTCTGTATTACGTAAAGCGATGTCAATGTCAATGCCGCTGATAATGATTAGCAAAAGGTTGTTGTGTGCTGCCTACGATTCATTGGATACTCATGAACTTGATACACTGACGCGAAAGTCTACTCGAGGGAATCTGATTGCATAGCCTACATTAAGGCTCACGAACGAAACAAATTTCTTTAAATAATATCAGCATTTTGTACCAAATTCTACACTTTTACGCCTCCGTAAAAATGCCCACGCAGTGATTTCAGTTGCACACCTTCGCTATTTTGCGTGTGCGTGACGACATTCTCCTGCGAACATCCATATCCGCGGCACTGTATGACGTCAGTTAAACTCCTGCCACAAATTGCATAAATTATAAGTTTATTCAAGAATCTACCAAATAAATATTTCCTTTTATACAACTCTGTGTTCCAAGCATTCCCTAACATACAAGTAATACAAGTTGTATTTTTTTTAAAAAAGCATATATTATTATTTCGTAAAAAGTATATGTTTTTAATAAAATGTGTTCATTACTTTTTGAATATCAGTCTGTCATCGACCAGCAGCAGCAGGTCATTTACCCTTGCTCCTTTAATTTAATACCTTTTGCAGTTCACACAGTTTTTGATTAATTACACAAACTCGCAACGGCATTTCATTAACTTGAAATTGCTTTCCCTGCCTTCCCCGCTTCTTCGCTTGCCTCCGTGGAATTCTGTTCATTTCGACGACACAAAATTAATGCTGAATTTCATTAAAATTATATCCGTTTGCAGAATTTTTGGTATATTATTATTTTTTTTTACTCATAGAACAACGTACAACCATTAGTTAATATTGAATTAATATACTAACAACAATTATTATTATTATTTTTAATAAATCAGCGACTTTTGAGAAAACAGCCTAAATAAACTTAAATAAAATATAGTTGTTGTATCAAAATGTAAAAGATTAAAGTAAAAATGTAAATTATGCTTTAACCCTTTATTGCTCGCTTCGAGATATTATTAGAAAAGTCCAAAAGTCCTCAAAATGGCTGTTAGTTTTTTGTTAGAAATATTTATTGTCAAAAATGGACTCGACAATTTTTGTAATGCAGCACTGTACCGCAAAGCATACTATTAATGACAACCCAGTAAAAAGAAGTAACTTTTTGTATATAACAATTTATTTCTAAAGCTTTTCTCATTTCCTTTATTTTCAGGTAAGTCCCTTTGAAGTCAGTACAGAAGTTCAGCAAATAGGATCTCAATTTAACGTAAGTCAAAGTATTCGTAAGCAAAATTCAGCATGAAATGAAATCACTTGACTTAAACTTTTTCAAAAATGACGAATTGTAGCTTCACGAGTTGCCACGAAAGTTGAAATTTTACGCCGAAATAAGGAAATAAAATTTTGCGGCACAAATTTGGATTACAGTTAAATTATGGCTTTCCATTTCTGTTAATTTCGAAAATTGATGACGGCAAGTTTTTAGCTATTTTATGGAAAGCAAAGACACCGAAAAACGGAGCAAATAATTTTAGTGGCACATTAAGACACCAGTGGCAGGCAAATGCAAGCAATTCGTTGTTGGCCAACACAACAGCTCCATTAACTGCCACTCTGTCCATCCATCCGTTTCGTTTAACCATTGCGGCCAGATTTGACTGCATTTCATTGCTCTGCAGTTCAATTCAATGCTCTGTGCGCTTCGTTTCAATTCAATTCGCTTCTTTCTCTTCACCTGAAATGTAATCCGTGCGCGCAAATGTCGATTACAATGCGAAATTACATGAAATTAATGTTTTTCCGTTGCAGCCATTCCAGTTTGTCGGGCGGCGGTGTAGTTAGAGCGCTCGCACACTTACACAAAAATATAAATAGGCGGCATTCGTACCGACAAATCGCCGACAACCAATGACTCCTGCTCCAGAAAATTGTGCGGCTGCTGAAATTTCGTACGAATAAACGCTGCAAATGTAATTGGGCACACTCCAAGTCTAAAATTATTCGAACTTCGCTGTCTCCACCTCCACAAATGGTTTCTTACGCGAATTTCTTACACTTCACTGCAATCTTTGCGCTTTTTTTTAATATTTTTTTCTTGGAAAACGGATTTAATCGTGTCATGTCTTCCTGGTTTCTTACACACAAGGTCTAACTGAAAATGTCTGATATGCGAAAGTACTAAGCATTTTTAATAGAAAATTGTATATAATACTTATTCATGATTTTCCTAGTACAGCGTGACGTCAATTTGTAAATCTTCGCCAAGAAAAATACCTTTAGTTATAAATTAACGCTAGAGGGCAACCCTAATTTAATAAAAAACGTTTTCTGTAGAAATATTTGAATTCATATCATATAAATGTGTATGTATTTGCATATTTTAATGGGATACAAAGCAAGGTTTTTCATTAAATTTTTGGGTAAATGGTATAAGGAAAATGCGAAAAGTATTATTAGAGATACCCACTTGGCGCAAAGTCTATCCAATAACATACATTTATAGTTAAAGTAAAAAATCTTAAATATGGTGGACATAATTTGTTGCAATAAAACATAAATAAAATTTCGTTTTCATTTAAAACAGAAAATATTACATAAGCAATATGAGTATAACAAATAACATAAAAATATCATATGAATATTATATAAAGCGCAGATACATAAATCATAACTAATTAATGCTCTTTAAAGCGCTTTTCGAGGTCTGGGTTGAGACATTGAATGAAAGCAAACGTACGAGTACATAGAGGATATGTGGGACAATTGAAATGTGTCTGTGCCGCAATATAAGCATTACATACACATGTGCAAGTACATCGTTATGTACTCAAATACGTATACGCACTCGCCACACTGTAACATACTGCTCAAATGTACATAATGAATAAATTGCATTGTAAATATGCCTGACCTGGTTTACTTTTCATGCCGCCCCAACGCGAAATGGACTGTGTCACGACGATGTTGCATGCAACAAAGCGCAGTGGCGACACGGCCTTGCTAAATGCCACATTGTACGTTTGTATGTGTGGTTGTGTGGATGACAAAAACGCAGCAATTGGGTTAAATGCTTAACTGCAACATATATGGTATCATATACACAAATATGTTGCCTTAAAAATGTGTGCATCAACCAGAATAATAGACAATATTTTCGAAGTATTGTAGTTCCCCTACGCTGAAAACTACATTGTTCAAAATATTGCATGCTGTAATTTCGCCGCGCATAAAAAATTGAGTAAACGCAGCATCGTTGCATGCAACACAACTGCACACGCATTTATAATTTTCAAGGTGCGCATTGGTGTGCGTCACTTTGCTTTTGTGTGTCTTACCTTGACCGAATTCACCAAACGAATTTGTGAGTGATTGCATAGCACCCACTGCCCTCAAATCTAGGCGCGCACAGACACACTCATACATATGTGCTCTTTTTGCATCTGACATGCGTTTGGCAGGTGGAAGCACGGCTAATGCTAATTCCAGTACAAACAGTTTTTGTCGTGTAAGTTTAGCTATTCGCTTTTGCTCCACAAACCGAACATAACGCACCGCTTACCACCTCTGCGCCCTGGACTTTTGCGAGACCTGACCAACTTTCGTATGCCATAGTTCACCTTGAGCATAAAATGAGTGTGTGTGTGTGGCATGCAACAAGCATACACATTATATAAACTGCAGGCATATAAGCATATGTACACTAGAATAGCATATACAAATATGTATTCGTGTATATGTGTATTCGCGCATGTTTTGTTGCAGCATTTCAAGGAAATTTATGCGAAGCCTTGTGGAGTGTCAGCATATACTGCAGAGCAAGTAATGCAAACGCTGCTCACTGCCCGTTCGCATAGTTGTTGCAAGCATTGCATTTTTTTCTCAAACCATTTGCCCCAACAGCTGCGAAAGTGGGTCACGCCAGCCACACACTAATGGCGAAAATTTCATTTCAATGCCAACGCATTTTCGTCCTTCGTAAATACGCAAACTAATCCACATTTAACAAATGGTTACGTGCATAAATTTAAAATTTTTCCTTTATAATTCGCAAAACATCTTTTTTCAATTTTTTTCAATGCAGTTCTTAAAGTTCCAATATCCTTTATTGTTCAGCTTCGAAATTTAATGCCAAATTACTCCAATACTTATTATTTTAGTTTAGCAATAAAATACCATATTTGCTTCGCATTTTTTATTATGTATATTCATTAATATTCAGTAAGTCCTCTTTTTTATTTTCCTAACCATCCCGCTGACCGAATGCATCCTTGGTGAGCGGCTATGTAGGTCAGCTGCTGTAGTTGTACTTTCATGTTTGTTCCAGTTTTACATTTTCCTTTCGTTCTCCTACGAACTTCGCTGCCATTTGAAATTTGGAGCAGTTTAATGATTTCACTTTTTCAACTCTCAAACCTTTTTTATGTTTCTTTCGCATTTTCTATTGCAGTTTCTCATTGTGGCGTCATACAAGCCACACAAAATACCCTAAAAGTCCACATATCCTTAGTCAATTTCTTTAGTGCGCGAGCTCTTTGCTAGCAAGTGAAGTATTTGATAAATCACTTATGAAATCAGGAATCTACTGAGCGCATACGAGTATGTGCATGAAGTTTTTGTTACTATAAATTTAATCTTTTTTTTTGGAATGTTAAAAATGTTTAACAAAAAATTATAGGTCCAAACTCATTTAAGCATTTATTTCTTTTACTGGTGATACACATTTAAGAGTTAATTTCTTAGAAGGTTAGATTTTTATAAATATAATATTATATTAAATATAGAATAACATAAATCAACAAACAAAAAAAAAACATAATAAAAAATCTGGGATGGGCCAGACAGGCTGGAAAATAAAATGCAGAACTCTCCAAAATAAGAGAGCAACACAAGTACCACAACTAAAACCGTTGTGGTATGGTTATGCAGGATAAACCCCGCAAGGTACACGATTACCGTACTTTTGTTTAAACATTTTCAAATTTGGTCCAATAATTTCTAAAAAAAATTTAAAACATAACAAGAAACTTTTTAAAAATTTATGTTTTTTAGGTGCGCCAGAAACTTTTGAAACATACGCATGTGAAAAGTGGGTTTTACAAGACATAGAATTTTTTTGAAAATTGTAATTATATAAAATAAATTTCAAAACAAAACTCTTTAAGTCAACAAAACTCTTTAACAACATATGTACATATATAGAGTTTAATTTTTTCTAAGGTTTAAAATCTAAATAATTTAAAATAAAATATAATATATATAATTTTATGGCTTATGGTTTTAAATATAATATAAAATATTTTCTACTAAAGATATCAGTGGTCCGTTATGTAAATTCCAACAACATATAAACAGAAATATAATTCAAAAGCGGTGCGTTTCTGAATATTTTAGAAGATTTAACTCCACTAGCACCTCTCTAAACTTGGAATTTCATATTATAATATGTAACACACACAAATACATGCAAATAATTCATATAAGCTATAATAACATTTGGCTAAAGACTTCAATTCAAATTGAATGGAAAAATCATTTTTCTTTTTTTTTCAATTTTTCTTATTTCAAATTGATTGTATTGTACAATAACTGTAATTTTAATCTACTTTAAAATCTTATTTGCGCGAAAAAATTAATTTAGCATTTCATAACATATAAAAATATAAGTATGTATGCAAGTATGCCGTTTTGCAACCCTCAAACTTTCACTGCCGCAAACTCAGCACTTGGCTACATTAAAACAAATGCTGCAACAAAACAAAAAGCACCGAAAAATCGATTACCGCCAAATGATGGAATCAAGTTAATAGACATTTTGACATGAATGAAATGAACTGTGTGGAAAGTCCTTAACAACTCAACACCGGCTTGTCATTTTCCCTTTCTAAAATATTGCATACACACACATGCACACATACATACATACGTATATATAGAAAAGCATAAATTGTGTATCAGCGTTTACCAAAATGCTTACTTTCTCTTTTATGCGGGCTTTGTCGCCATGAAAAGTGCTCCGTTGACTCGCTGAATATGGTATGTATGTATACCCATCATACATACATATATTCGTTTATGTAGATCTGGCAAAGCCACAATGCGCGGAAATTGAGAATGAATTTTCATTTCCACAATAACATACATAATTTCAGGAATATTTGTGCATGTTCATACATACACAAATCTGATATTTGTAAACTTATGGCAAATACGCTCTCTTCAAAATTCCATAACATATTTTTAAACAGCTTCTAAAAATCTAAATCGTTATACTAAAACTATGTGCTGCCGACGCTTTTTCTTCTTTTTTATCGGTGCATAAAACTTAAAAGCCGATTAAACGTTTTTACTAAATCAATTAAATGTCATTTGCGAAATAGAGCAACGCAAGTACTACAAACAGCAACTTTCGCCTGGGGACGCGTACGAACTAAAGTACATAAATATATGTATTTATAAATGTAAGTGTGTGTGCAAAACTTCAATGGCGTTGGGAAATTCTCCGAACACTCCGAAACTCTCAAAGAGTAGCAAGAACTCTATAACTTCTGAGAGCATAATTTTATGTATGTACACACAGGTTTTATTAACTCTACTGAATGTGAAAATAGAAAGTTGCTCATACGCCTGAGCATCCCTCAATTCGCGACTACTTGAAGCAGGACAACAAAGAAAAACTAGAATTAACTCTAAAAAAACAAACTAAGAGTACCTACTTCGAAGTGTTCAAAATGACGTTTTTGAATGCTTAAATATTTTCAAAAAACAAAATCAAGCAACAATCAAAATTTATATCTTTAGGAAATTTACCTCTAAAGTTGAGGTTGAAAATGTTAAAGTTTTTATTTTGATAAAGCCTTAAACATATATACATAAATGAATATACATAGCAACTCCAAAAAATATCTACACACTCAAAACTTCAGCTTTACCCGGTGACCTAATTTTTCTCCGTATTCCCCAAAAACATAAGAAATGTGTCAGCATGCGCTCTCCTCTCGCAAGGATTTGAGCTCAAGCTAACAATATTTCACTCTTAACTGAAATACTCTTCAATATGGATACAACACTCTTAAAGTTGTGGCGTTTATTGAAAGGGAATTCATTTGAATACACAAGAATATAAATAAAATTCTCTTAATCATGCAAATGTGTAGTTTTCGGCTAGCGACCCTGCGCGTAGAGCATTGCTGATAACTTCATATTATCGTATTACCATCAGTACGTACTTGTTTATATTTTGACCCATATATTTTCGGCAATGCACATACTATCATCCCTTACCAGTGCTCCGCCTGAAAGGGGTGGTTCAGTAATGTTCGAGCACTTTGCAAACATTCCAACATTTAGCGGCACTTTTTCACTTACATTCAGTTGTATTTGCTTGTGTTGAGCATAAATATCAGAAAGCAGTGAAAACTGAACAAAAACAAAAGAGAAGTGGAGGGTGGAAAGGCGCAAGAAAAGAATGCTTCCACTAACCCAGAATGCAATGCCTTCGAGCGTAGCAAGGCGGCGTTATGACCCTCGCACTGCGTGAGCTAGTGGACGTGTAATGCCGTCTCCTAAAAGCCATGCAGCAATCAAAATAAATTGGGGAATAAGTTTAACGAGCACGAAATATAAGAATACAGATGAGATGGAGCATAAAGTCACTAGCAATGTTATATATGTATGCACATACATATGTAAAGGTATGTGCGTGTAGATAGAATAGAAATACATGTGTATGAGAGTATGAACAACATTTTTTACGCTTTATGAATTCATTTTTGCAGAAGCGAATTTTACACGATTTCATAGCAATGGTTTCTTTAACAACAAAACAACACAAACATATGCATAGACATATACCTACATATGTGCAAATAACTATAAATAACGTTTCTAACTTTTATTTAAGCACCTCTCATTCTTACAGAATAATTATTTCAGAGTAAAATCAGGATAATGTGTATGTTTAACCATTTTTCCCAAGAAAAGCTACTTCAAAAAAATCTAGTTTTCGAAAATTTATATTTATTGTTTACATATTTCAATAGAAATAATTTACTCTAGTATTTTTTTTACTTATTTTCAAATCTGATATAATCTAAAAAAAATTATACAATAATTATTTGCTCAAATTTTAAGTTTCAGCTCTAAAAATATTTTTTTGCAATAAAAATGTATTGAAGTCTAATTCTGTTAATTCTAAAATTCCATAATTTTTTTTAAAGTAATCATTTCAGCTGTTGAAATGTGTTATGGTAAGACCTTCAAGCACCCGCTAATTGGCGGACAAGCTCAGCCTAAACCAGTTTTCAAGGATTCCTGCAAGAAGCAAAATAATAAAAAAATATATAATATAAAATAAATATACATACATACAGGTATGTGCAACCGCATTTATATACCGTAATATACAAAAGCATGCACATAAAAGCAACCTCCAATTGAAATCAGGTCAATATTGCAATACAAAAACAATAGAACAACTCTAGTAGCATAAATGCTGGCTTTAAAATTTCTCAATGAAAACAATTTCATAAGAATTAATGACTTAAATGTTTTTAATTGATTCTCAACTTTTGTATTTGTGATCACAGAAATTTTTCATATTTCCTAGAATCAGTTTTTGATATAATATAGGGTGATCCATTTCGAGGTTCCCTACTTTTTTAAAGAAAGAAGCACAGAAAATTCAAATATAATGGGGAATGTTTATTATCATTCGAAAGAACATTCTTTGGCATTTATTTTTTGAAGATTATCTCTTTTCAATATTGGCCGTGGCTACGTCTCAGATGGTCCATTCGTTGAGTCCAATTTTCGATGACTCGTTCGAGCATTTCGACTGGTAACTGGCGATTGATAGGCGTCATGTATTGCTCCATGGTCTGAATCGAAGCAGGATTGCCCGCATAGACTTTAGACTTTACATATACCCACAGGAAAAAGTCTAACGGTGTGATATCACAAGATCTTGGTGGCCAATCGAATGGCTCAAAACGTGAAATTGTCTGATCACCGAAGTGTTCTCTCAATAAATCCATTGATTGATGCGATGTGTGGCCGAAATATGGACCGATGATTTCACCGGCCCACAAACCACATCAAACCGTTGTTTTTTCTGAATGAAATGGCAGCTCTTGACTCTCTTCAGGTTGCTCTTTGTCCCAAATGCGACAATTTGGCTTGTTTACATATCCATTGAGCCAGTAATGGGCCTCATCGCTGCGTGCTGGACGTGGTCTATTCGGTCGAATATTATAAAATAATGAATGATAGTTTTCAAGATGGGTGATGGGCATTTTCGTAATAAAGTTGAACGATTTGTAAACGTTCTTCAAGCGTAAGTCTTTCCATGAAGAAATGCCAAACAATACTGAACAAAAATAACATGACAGCAAAACATGGCTCACGTGTGATCTGTCAAAAAAAGGCTATTGATAAAAGTACCTCTACTTAGGTCACCCGTTATTATCCGAGTTGTTGTTTTAAAATTGCAAGTTTATGTCAGGGACTAAAAATTTCACAAGTCAACATTAATTAATTTTTTTTGTTTTATTAAAGTTTTTTAAAGTTAACTGATTTGTTGTTGTTGTTGTTGTGAATATGCACATATACGTCAAGGACGCCAGGGAATTTAAAAGTTAGTTCAATAATCTTCATATATTATATATGATTTCATTATATTTTTAGTAGTGGCTTGGGATCGGCACATGCACATAAATACATATGTATATGTACAATATATACATATATACAAGTTCATACAACGCTTTCATAAATATATGTATGTATATAAACACAATTAACATACACACATAATACTTAACACAATTGACCTAGTAAACGTCATGCCATGCATATGTATGTGCTTATTTACCATACATATATATCAAACTGCACATATATTCAAATATCTATGTACATAAGCATATACAGTTAGTAGTGCAAGCATCTGCTTGGTTCTCGCCATTTCACAGTAGCAGCGTCTCCTTGACACAAATGGCCTTATTCTCATTCTCAATTTGCCCTCCACACGTTTTTGTCTATGCACTTCAATAATATTTCTCCATTACAAGGATGCATCATAATGTTAATGCACTGCCAACCAAACTTATGCTGCCATCGTCTAGCGGCCTATAGTTGTCGGCGGCCTCGTCAACTTCACCCACATTTATCACACTTGCATTTACCAACATTCCCACATGCATGCATACATAGATATGGTACATATGTGTAAATATATGCGTATGTACAAGCAATATACATGATGAACTCGTTTTGAAGTCGCGATGCGCTCGTGTTATCATTCCGGCTAGCGGTGTTTTCCCATTCAGCACTAATACATTCACAGTTGAAGCCGGCACGTCGCCGGTTGTAGGTTTGCCTTGGTTGTCCTTTATCGAGTGACTAATTGTATATCAGCTTTGCGCGCGCAACGCTCTTATCGAGTGGCAATAAATTGCAAGCGTAAATGTGAATGTTACAAGTGATTTGTCTTGAGGCACCGAAGAGTTGAGGATCGTAAATAAAAGTATGCGTGATCACTACAATAGATCGACACGGCAGTCCAGCCTAAAAGTAGGCAACTCTTAAACTTTAATACTTGATATTTATGAATTAATAAATTTTATAATAATTATATATAAAAAATTTACTTGCATATTTAAATTTGTTATTTATTGCAATTCTCATTTATTTTACAGACAAACAAATCCAAATTCAGATGTACCTGGAAAGGCTGCAAACACATAGAGCACACACCGAAAAAGATAGAGCGACACATACGTAATGTTCATCTAGGGTAAGTGCGAGTTATAATTGTATCTATATGCATATTTTTTATTCATAAAAGCACACGTTTACACCTCCGTACTTGTTTCTTGCTAAACTTTCTACATTTCTATGTGCCTAGTGTCAATTTTATCTCAAATAGTTTCTCAAAATTCCGCAATACGTTCTCGAAATAATACCAGCGAGGCAAAACAAATGTTTTTCATGATAAATCCTTGAAATTTTTTTTTGTATTTATTTTTTTTTTTTTGTATTTGGTAACTAAAACCAAGGGAACGCTCACGCTATTACCTTGACACAGTGAGCCAAGCAAAGTGCAAGTTAAATGGCACAAGTGGTAAAAGCGCCGCAACCATTGCAACACACAATCACAACCACAGCTGTGGCGCCCCAGCAACAACAACACTACAATACCCACTGCAGCGGCGCATTTTCCTCTAGTCCTCTAACGTGCGAATCCGCTTTTAGTTGCATTGGCGCTAATGTAAAAATTCTGGGCCAGATGCACTTAAATAGATACATATATATATGTAAATATATACATTGTATATACATATAAATGCATAAGTATGTTTGTATGGATGTATGTCTAGTAAAAAATAAATTACCAAGCAGCAACTGTAGTGCGATTAGCCCGGTCGTTGGGTGGGCGAACGCACTCGTATTTCTGAGCATTCGTGACAAATGCTGTTCGCTTGCATACACACGAGCAAGGCATTTTGAGGCCAAGGTTTCGTACCACTGCACTGCTTCAGGAAGACTTCGCTTGGGTTTGGTGCATACAAATCGCAGCGTTTAAAGGTTGGGTATGCATATTTCAGAAATCACTTTTATGGATTATCGCTTAAGAAAGTCGGCCGAAAATATTTCCCAAAAATAATAAACACCGTTATTTGTTCTATTATCGCGTTTGTAATTATATATATATATGTATTTTTAATTAATTAACTCTACACACTAATACAGAGCGAACTTTTGTTTCATTATCTTCTTTTATAATAACCTTACATACTAATTGGTTATACAATAATACATATAACTTTAGTTCTCGCATACAAATTAAACTAACTAAATTTCAAATTTGATTTTCTTAGCATAAAGCAAAGGTTATTAAAATAAAAAAATGTGTTTCATCATTTTGTCGATTGCAAATGTAATAAAATATCCTTAATTAAATTTAATATTAAAATTAAAATAAAGAACACATATAGAACAAAAATAATAGTAGCGTAAATAAATAGCAACGCCTAATAAAGGCAAAAAGGAGTGTAGGATACAAATAACTAACCTATTTTACTTCGTTTAAATGATATGAAATCGGTTTTGCTTTGTTGCGAAATTGTTTATATTAAATTGCATTGTAAATTAGCAAATATCAATGTGGAACTTTAGCGATGCTTAACTCTTAATAGAATGCTAAAAGGTGAACAACGCACTAGGGTCTTAATAGTAGTATTTATTAGATATATATGCTTACATTGCTTACAACTAGGAACTATGTACTACCGCCTACACTACTAAAAGGGAGTACGCATAATATCCAATTGAGGTTTACTGATAAATGCAAAAACAAGCACGAAATTGCTTTCATTTAGGTCTAATGCGGAATTCGGGCATTTCAATAATTAAACTATTCGAAAGGAACACATTTCAACCGGCAGTAATTGAAACGCAAGTAATTTTTAAGTGATTTTTTTTTTATTCAAGAGGCATTTCAAATTTTTGCATTGAAAATTATAGAAATTACTTACATCGCACTCAAAGGTTTTCAATAACTAGATCTACTATTTGATGAAACATTAAACATTACAAATTGCATAGCTACAAGAATATATACGCGCTAAAACGTTTGTCGCACTTAAACTACCTCGTTTATAATTTAAATTAATATTCAATACGCTTTATTTACTGTACGTCTACTACTAAAGAAACACAACATCTATACGTTGTAAGTCTGCCATGATTGTTCCTTAAAGTTTAGCTTACATTGCCATTCACTCCAAATTGTCTGCCTATAACTAGACATATATACTTTATTTACGTGTGTTAGCAGTTTCCACTTAAAATATATGTGTATATAAGCTTGAATATGTGTGTATATATATTTCTTTATAATCATTTGAACAAATTTACAAAAAAAAAAAAAAAAAAAAAATATATATGAAAAAAAAAACATATTTCGAGCTTAAATAAATTCTCTTCTTACATAAATATCCTGTCGAATACATCACAAACCAACAACTAACTATTAAAAAAAATAAAAATTTTTTCATCTACTTTCTAAAAAAAAATTTTGTATTTGTGTATAACCGAATCCAAACGAGCGTTATATGTATGAAAAAAAATAGAATTAAAATAAATATTGGTTAAAAACAATTTCTCCTTGGCGTAAAATTATTTCGGGCTGGTAACGTTGCCATCATCGAATCGATTGTAGAATTGAGAAGTTTTTTTAACGTGATTCAATGTTGCTTAATTTAATTGTGAGGGTTCATAAGGGTATGAGAGATGTCCATAGAAGTTTCCGCAAGACCATTAACAGTTATGCCATTTGCTAAATTACTTACTGAAATATAATTGATGATATGACAACTGATAAAAATTTGAGAACAGAGAGTGTAAGAAATTACTTACCAGTACGGGTACCCTGCGGTGCATCAAGTTGCGACCAGTATTGTTCAGAAGGGCTCTGTGTGCTTGTGCCAGGTGGTGCCTGCACCGGTGCACCTGTGTATCTAAAGTATGGATTTTTCAAGTCCAGTGTGTTACTTGAGGATATTAGCGTTCCGTCAATATGCAAATCAATCGTGACATCGTAGGACTGACGGCGATTGGCTTCAAGCAGCACACGACCAGTCAAAAGCTGACCTTGTTTAATGAATATCGGCATTGGTAAAAGACAGCGCACTTGGTACCAATGAGTTAGCGGTGCTGTGGGCGATGTGGAAAGCCAGACTTGCTGGTTAGAACCGCAGAACTCCACATCAAACCAAAAAGCAAGTCCATGACAAATGCCGGTTTGTAATATATGAAACTGGAGAGGTATATCTATAAAAATCATTAAAATAATGAAAAATTCCTTTTATAGACGTAGCAAAAAGTAAATACATACCAATGTTATGTAAGTCGTTTTCATTATCTCGCAGGAAATCACAAATATGCCGCACGGATTTTGCCATACAAATACGTATGTCAAACGTATCGACAATCGGCTGTCGGAAATACTCCTTCATACCTTCCTTATGCAGCGTAGTCAAATCGACGCCATGAAAAGCGGACTGATACCAAAAGTTTGCTTTATTATACTGCTCTGAGTAGAGAGATTCATCTGAAAATGGTGCAATGTGCAAGTCTCCATGTGTGGGAAACATTTTTCCGTTCGGTTTCAACCATTTTCTAGCGTGCAAATATGTTTCAAGCATGCGCTCATTGTAGAGCATGTATCCCATAGGTTCTGATATAATTACGTCTACCATTTCAGGTATTTCAATTTCTTCAATTTTACCAGGCATCACAAATATTTTATCCTGCACGTTATTAGAATCAACCAATTGCTGTGCATACTGTGCCATATTAGAGGCTTCAATGGCATACACTTTAGCGGCACCTGCCTGTACAGCAAAAAACGATAAAATCCCTGAGCCAGCACCCACATCCAAAACTATTTTGTTCTGTGACATTAAATCGTTAGCTATTTAAATATCTCAGTACGGAATAAAAATATCTTACATGAAAATCAGTGGAATTGCCAAGAATGGCACGCTGATATGTGCTGGTGCGAACATAATCTTGCATCATATTCTGCTGCTGCGATAAATATCCATAAAATTGGAAATACTGTGAAGCGGAAGACTCTTCAGTTCGTTGTGAAAATACTGATTTTGGTCGGAGATGTTTTACACTATCGACTAGCTTTCGAAACCGTTGCTGTTCTACAAAGCCAAAAAAATATAATGTTAATATATGTGCATTGTATTTTTTATATAATATATTTGTTACCATATGCAGATGAAAATCTCAGAAGCAAATTATCATTATCCAGTGAAAGCGCATACGTTTGGCGGCCTATTTGTGATGATTCGGTATCATATGCAAGCAAGTACTCTTTAAGCACATTCGAAGTGTCGTTATCTAAAAAATTCAAACGTATATTTTAATTACATTCAACATATTCTCAGTCCATACAGCAGATTAGATCATTTGTAAATAATGCTTACCTGGTGTAATTTTTAAGAGAACACCTTGTGGGTCATAAATGCACAGCAAAGTACAACTTGTCTTATATTTGCAACTAAATTTGAGATTTGTTTCGTCGACAACTTCGCTAATAATGACACCATTAAAACTGCTGGTACCATTGGCATTAAGGCCTCCATTGCCGCCTCCGCTCGTACCACCATTATTTGCAATTGTAATTACACCACTGTTGTTTTTACTATGCCCACCACTACTCAATGCACATAGGGATGAGGAGGAATTATTGCGTTCAACTCGTTCAGTAACAATATTATTAATATTGGTGGACATTTTTTGTCTGTAAACGCCGATAAATTTCGTTTCCTTTCAAATTATCTAAACCGTGTATTCTTAATAAATAGTAATTGACTTTTTTGCTCACAGCGATTCCTTCTGTATGCTTTTCAATAATATGAAACATCAACTTTCTGCTGCAGATACAATAATAGATACTTAGATGGGTGCTCAATGAAGCTTGAACTTGTACTCGTACTTGGTTCAACTCGAAATAATTCCCTTTTACTTATATGTAGCGCAGTATTTTTAATTAAAAAGGAACGGAATTTTTTTTTTTAATAAATTACTTGATACTTCTGTAAAATAAACGCAACTTTGTAAATTTCGATGCCTGACTCTTTCGTAAACGTTGTATTGATTTGCTTTGTCTGTTATTTTCACCGCTTTGACCACCGTCTGTCGATTAATTCATTTCCATCTGCTTCTTCTTCCGAAGTTTCTTTGTTGCGAACACGTTTTGGGTAACTTGATAACAGAATTGTAAGCAAATAATTCTACATCAGTAAGTCACAAGTTTATCCTTGCAAATAATTCGAGAATTAAAATACACGTTTGAATTCTTAAATTTGCAATATGAATTTAGTTGTTTCTTACTTTATTCTTAAATAGTAAGCGCTTTAATTTAACAACAGCACTACACACCATTAAGGGACAGATCAACTACACAAATGTCAGCAGGCAGCACTCGCGTCATTTCATTCCTCACCTTTTATACATCGCATATACCTGTGTAGCTGCTTTATACAATGAAATGGCTTCCTAAGCATATATTGCTATCTCTTTTTCCCATGGCTAAAGCTAGGCAGGGTCGCATGGAAGAGTTTGTAGTAGATTGTAGGGTTGTTTTTACACTGATACAATAAAGTTTTCTACAAATAAATAGACTAAGCAAGTTTTATTATGTTTATATGTTAATATTTTATTTTAAATACTTTCCCACAGTAACAAAAAAGCACGTCGTTCTGCTGATTATGATGAATCATGTAGCGAAAATGACCATGAGGAGGAATTCTATTATACAGAAATCGAAGATGAAGAGGATGATTGTAAAACACCGAGCCCTACATCGCCACCCACTCTAAGCCACCGTGATATGGCTCGCCCACCACACGAAGACCCAGAATACCAAAGAAAAATAGTGGGCAATTTCAAGTAGGTTTCTTTTATAATTATTTTATAATACTTATTCATATAGCATTAGAAATAAAACATCTAATGCACACACGTAATCATGAGCGTAAAGTTAGGGTTACATATTGACATAATAATTTTTGTTTTGAAGTTGTGTTACTTTAGAAGTTAACGATTAGTATGTAATTTTTTTTTCATTTAGTTCGTAACATTAAAAGTTCGACATAACCACACTTTAGTACACGTTCAATGCAAACAAATAATGACGTTTATTTCTTTCCTAATCATAGGCAAGGACGTGTCAATCAACAACAACAATTGCAACAAAATCAGGGTCAACATTTAAATAACAGCAAGACGGTATTTCATGGTGGCACTTATTTTGCTAACAACAACAACCACACCAATCAGCAAATGCAGAGCAATTGTGTATCGACTTCACCTCTAAATCATCACAACTACTGGCAGTCGTCATCAGTACCGGTAGTACAATCAGCACAAACCGCCATTACATCGGTGACATCTAACTCGAGTCAGCAACTTCATCAGAATCAACAGCCGCAGCCGCAGCAGCAGCAGTCTCAATTTGTTAAACACGCTCGATCATCGCCACGTCCGTCCCAGTCGACAGCGCCATATCCATCTCCAACGTATCATCACAATTATAGCAGCAGTCCGAATGCTTGCATCAGTAGTAATAGCCATGGCAATGTCAACAGCAATACATGCAATAGCCAAAGCAGTTCCATCACACCTAATAATAGCGGTGCCAGCAATATGCTACAACAGTTGTCCCACCAAAATATTACGGTGACGGCACATCAAACTGGTGCTCATCACAATCAGCCGCAACCACAGCAACAACTACCGGCTGTAACTATTACGCCAAATTATACCAACCAGCAACCGCAACAACAGCAGCAAATACAGCATATACATGGTCACCAACAACCGACGCAATCCAGCGCTGCTGGAACTATCGTGACAATCTCCACAGCACAAGTTCACCAACAATCACAACAGCAACAACAGACATCTCATCATCATCAGCAACAACATTCACAACATACAACCATTGCCACGACAACAAAACACACACCAAACTCACCAAATAGACGCACACGAGGCGAGAACAAGAAATGTCGCAAAGTATACGGTATGGAACGCCGTGATCTATGGTGTACTCAATGCAGGTGGAAGAAAGCATGTACCCGATTCGGTGACTGAAAAAGGGTCAAAGCGTCGGCGGCGGCGGTGGAAACGACGACGACGGCGACCGCTGTAAAAACAGCGAAAATGATTTCGACGAGGACCACAACGACAGAACTGGCAGCAGGGGCGAAATCGAGATCACCAATGCATACAATTGACAATGGCAATACAGTCACGGTAGCGCCAACTTATGCGAAGTACAAGCGAACAAGCAGCAATTACAATAACAATAATATTGGTCATAACAGCAACAAACACAAATATGTGGCAACTTCCGCACCAGCAACTGCCGTGGCTACCTCCGTCATTGTGAAGCCACCAAATAACTTAAGAAAAATCACTGCTAGCAATAATAACCACCAAAACACTGCCAATGGCAGCAACATAGACCAAACGCCGATGACTAGCAAACATAATAATTATGGTACAAATACGGACGCTGATGCACATCTACAACAGCAACAAATACAAGTTGTTACAACTGCCAATAACAGCAACAGCAACAGCACTAATAACAACCACTTGCTGACCACTGCTGCCTCAAATACAGAACTCGACATTTGTATGCGAACGTCGCTGCCATCACAATACTTTCCTTAAGCACCAACGCCACACACCACATACACTACAAAAGTTAGCGACATTAGGGCTGAGCCCAACTTCAAGACGGCATAATCTATGGCTGGCCGCGAAGACAAGTATGAAGACGTTATGAAACCCGTAATAATCATAACTGTTAATAATTTTTCGGCTATGTTCTCTAACATTTGCTGCAATTTTTAACGTACATTATTTTTTTTATTATGTATTTAAGAAATGACTTACAATATTTTTTGCTTTTTTGTTATTGTTTATATTTTTGTTGTCATTGCTTATTTGATTGATGATTATTTAGATCAGCCTCCAACGGCAATTTTACACTTTAAATTAATTTTATAAAATTAGAAAAATTTTTCTTTACTTTTAATTATGTATGTGTATACATGTAAATAGGTATAACATGCATGCATACATATATATATAGATATAACGGTACATATAGTATTAAGAATTTCAACCTTGCGTGACTCCACCATTATCCACACATCAAATAGAGACCTAGTAGATGCATACACAGTTGGAAATGTCTACAACGTACTCGTACATATGTATGTAAAGTTACAATGCAGTTGAATAAACAATTTAAATATATGTGGAAGTAATTGCTTTTAAATTTGCAAACAAAAAACGTGTATATGTTAATTATGTTATACATATACATGCATATATATATATATAAATATACAGACAAACGAAACAGCTAGCATATGTGTGTATGTTGCATAAGTACATAGATAGATAATTAAGTATTACATTAAACATAATCATTACAACGGTAATGTTTAACTTCGTTTAAATAGCAAAATGTTAAAATAAGACAAAAAAAATAAACAGAAGCGAAACCAACCAACTCAAACTTATCTTTAAGTTAGCTATACAATATTTATGACCACATATACACAAATTTTTGAAAATGAAGTAAACCCAGGCAAGTAGTACCCAAACCAACTTACTCCGATTACTACCGTAAACTCTAAAAAAATGTCACTTTTCAATTTCGAAATCCTGTTGACACAGCTTTCTCACCACGTCCGCTTATAAAATCATTAAACATATATAGAAATTTTCTCAAATGTTGGACATTTACAAAAATAGCATGCATACATATTATACCATGAACTCAAGCGAAATTAAGCAAAACCATTTTCTAGTTATTTGTGATACTAGATTATTTTCGATTATATGGAATGCTTAACTATATATTTAAAAAGCAATTATAATAATATTATATTTTATCTTTTGCACTGGTAGTCTTATTGAGCGGAGAGACTATTAAATACAAATTCACCCATTAAAAAAATTGATTTTTTTTATAATGCATCAACTTGTTTGGCACTCTTCGAACAGCAAACAAATTCTCTTAAAAAGGGATTAACAGTAATTATTTGCAGATATGACATTAATGGTAAATATGTATGTATGCACGTATGTATATTAGTTTAGTTAGTGAGACCGAAATCCCGTTTACTTTATCCAAATAAAAGAGAAAACTATTTGAATTTCAATGATAATATTGTATTATAAAAGTAAATTTATAATTTATTGCTAACCTAAACGTTTTAGTAAAACTCTTCAAAAAGACAGTTCAATAAATAACGCAAACCATTATGATGAAGTAGAACTCTCGCAAGATAATGAAATTAAAAGAAGTGTTCAAATTAATGTAATCGATAGATATCTAAATTTAAAGAAAATTATAATTATTATATATATTATTTGAATTATACACATTTCGTTCATCGGTTTATTAATATATTTTGTACCTAAATTTATGTACACGTTAAAAAGTAGCACCTGTATAAAACTACTATTATGAATTTCTACTAATTAAAGTATACAAATGCATATTTACTGCTGTAGATGCATATGTGATTTGCAATGATCTTATTTAGGGAAGCACAGTAGGCTTACCTTGGAAATGTCAACGCACTATCTCAAAGTGTTTCCTCCCGTTCTCACGACAGTCGGGTCTATGTAATCGGAACGGACCCGGAATTTTTTGCGGTCAAGGACTATCAACTCGGCAGAATTCTGCCGTTATAACAACAACAACAACAACAAAGTGTTTCCTCGTCTCTCTTTCCGTAAACGTGATTTGAATGAAATTCGTGATAGTGGCCATTGTATATATATAAATTTTGTTTTCATTAGAGAAACTAATATCTTTTTCAATTATATTTCATAAGAGAAACATTAAAATTAAGTACGTACATGTATACATCTTGAAAAATATATTGACATTCTAAAACAATGATTTGCATTAGCACTTTTGTAAACATGTGTATGTATACTGGCGAATTTATGCCAACATTGTTTTATAAATTAATTTATCTACTTTCACATCTTCCCCAATCAATCCCTTAATCAATGACTTTCAAACACTTGTACATTTTCTTTATATTTCTATATATAAAAGATTTAATTTTTTTTTTTTTTGGCAATTACAAGAAAAAATTATTTTTAAGTGATATTTTTACAAAGTTTCGCTGAATTTGTATGTATTAGCATAAGCAGTTATGAATAATAATAAAAAATACTTTTAGCCAGCAGTAGCAGCAACAACAGCCAGAACACTAAAAGCAGTAAGAAACAAGAACAAGTTGAATTATGAAAGGTACTTTGTGGAAAAATAGAGAAGTGTAAGCCACTCACTCCCTTGCATAAAATCACGCCCAACTTCCCTTTTGAATGTACATGGATACATGCATACATACATAAAGTTTATTGAAACTATAAATACAAACATACATTTTAAACTTTAATAAACAATTGTTATTTATAATTAAAGATAAAAGCCGAAAAACTAAACTTTGTTTCTTTTATTTTAAAACTGTTTTCTTATTTAGTACTATTTTCAAGTGCTTATTTTTTGGTAAATTGTTTCTTGGATAATTAAAAATAGATGCAGGTGAATAGCTTTAGTATCGAAATTAACTTCCATGGTGATAATTTCATACTTGTAGTTAACTCCTAAAGTGAGGATTTTGTGTAAGGATTTTTAGAATTAACAATGATTGGTCAGCACAGGTTGACTGTGGGAGCATTCACAAGTGCGAACAAGTATCTTTCAAGGTATCTGACGCCTTATTTTAAAAATAATTCAAAATCTAAAGTTCAAAGATATTTTTATACATTTTCAAAGGCATACAAATGTTTATTTTTATTAATATATGATTGAAGAGCGCACTTTCTGGATGCGCCTAAAAGTATGCAACTGTCGAATCAAAAAGTATATAAGAGTAGTGCTGGAAATTCATATCCCTTTTTTTATTGAATATCTAAAATACTTATTTTCCAACAATCTTACAATTTTGCATTGTTTATCCCTTATAATAAATATAAAAATTATTTAGTAATATAAATTAAAAAAGGTAGAGAGCTTCACGAATGTTGTATAAATGGCGCAAAACTAACCAAAACAAAACACCAAATTATAAGTAATTTGCATAATTCACAACCAACCTTTCAACATACATACATACATATGTATGTGACACCAAAACTTTTGGAGAGTTTTAACTTTCGTTTTTAGTTCATTCTCAAGTACGCTCGGCGAAAGACTTGCGAAATAATTTAATAACCAATAAAGTATTTACTTAAGTATGTAAGTACACGCACTTTAAAACATTAGTACTACATCCATTAAATTCGAATATAGAAATATAAAGCAGTTAAGTACGTTTATATTTAGCGGTAAATAATTACATATATAACTTTCCATACTTAAAAACTGTGTAATCACGAATCGGCGTAATCGAAATTATTTACAACCTTAAAAAAACATAATGATGTAAAAAACGAGAAAAGCAAAAAAAAAAACTGTAACACTGCCAATCATTAACGCGATTTCTAAAATTCATTCGCTTCTAAACTAAGCGTTATTTATTGCTCGTTTACATACACACACGTTAACGTACGATCGATGTATTTGGGTTACACAAACATTAAAACAATTGTTTGCTTCTCAAGTGCCATACAAATCATAAACGTTGTGTCGAATTTACACATATTCGTACACTTGTATATAATTTTATAACCTCACTTTTAAAAATATCAGTTTTCTAAGTGCCCACCATAACCTAGATTTGCATATACAAGTATTTTTAGTTTGTTATGACCCGTCATTATTTGTAAAGCTAACATCTTGTATTGACAATTTTTTACTACTATTTGCGAAGAACTCAGTTTTTAAATTTAAATACATATTTATTTAACTGGAAAACAACAAATTTGTTCAGTCTTTTCAATTTTTTCATATGTTTAACAAATGATAAATATTTCTCAATTTTTTGTACTTCGAAATCTCAGTCCCGAAAGTCAAATTTTTTATCGTTCCATATGTTTTGATAATACTTTTAACAATCAATTTTGGAGGCCCCGTTTTAAAAAGAGTTTGACGTGGTATTCACTTTAAAGCCATTTATTTTATTTATTTTTTATTTAAACAGATTATATTATTTCTTAAACCAAAAATAAAAAAAGGATTTATTCTAAAGCAATACATGTAGACTACCAATCGGCAACTAAAAACTGAACAATCACGCATTAAGACCGCTATTCGGGCGTCATCAATCGTTTACATCGATCAAAACGAATACGTTTAAAACATAAAATCAACCCTTACCCTAAAACTAATATTATTCACTTTTTATAGTATGTACTTACTATGGGTATGTACTCATTTCGAAAGGAAAATTAAACTGACTGATTTATTGAATTAAAAAACAAACAAAAAAATTAAGGAAGTAAATGAAAAAATCTTTATTTTGAGTATATTATGTAAGAAACCCCTTTTTTAAATTTTCATTTGAGAAATCGAAATTTTTTACCGTAATTAATGTAAACATCCTAACTGAACCGAACAACTCATTACTGAAAAGTAAATTAAAAATCAAAAATTAGTATTAAATATTTTCTACTTGATATTGATTTTCAAGGAATTTAGAATTATTTATAAGATGTTGTTGAAATCGATTAAATAAAAATTTTCGTGGAAAATATCCCGGAAATCATACCTGTATACAAACGGTACATACAAAATAATTATATACACACATACTTACACGCAAACACCATGTCTGTGCGAATTGAAAATCCAATTAATATATATATAGATTTAAAATTATACTATAATTCATAATAATTACGCCATTCCCTTATCCCCTCTCCAAAACCGATAACAAAAAAAAAAAAAATTGTTCTAAATTTTAAAAAATGTACTGAAGTTAGCACTAAAGATTATATGTAAACCAGCACACATTCGGATATATTGTTAAGAAGTTAGCACATATGTATACTTAAACGTATGGTAAAGTAGTAGCTCGATAAATCGATTTTTAATTTAAATTGTACTAACATTAGTTCATTCGATAACAATTACGACTAAACGTAACGTAATTTGCTATGTGAAAACGCAGCCAAGACTTTGTCCTAGAAATGTTGGCAATTGGATACACATGCGTATACAAATGAATAGTATATGTATATGAGCATACAATTATATGCGATTCTACTTTTGATTACTACTTTTTACAAATGTTAAAAATATTTCTAAACAAATTAATTTTAATTACCCTGAAGCTATTTGTAATATATACATATACTTCTTTATTGTCCCAAAAGTTCATTCCAGCCAGCAATTTTTGGAGATCTGAGGATAAAAAAAAGTCACCAATATTGACAATATGTTAATTAATTTATGATATGTTACATAGCGTGGTACCTATCTTTAGAATGTAAGCTACCTCGATCGACTACAATTTACAGTCACCCAGAATCCCTTTTTTAAATGTTTTTTTCCGTAACAGGTCCGTATGTCAACTTCTTCGAGGTTCATATGGCCTGTGCGGAATCTAGCAACACCACTTGACATATTTTGGTTGTACAGTTTCATCGAATGATATACTAAGCAACCGTGCTCGCTATTTGGTTTTTGCTGGGATCATGACTTTCACTCAACATACCAAATTGGAAATTGTTATTATTTACCACCTGTCAGAATTGTTTCTGTACCAAAAATCTCATAACCCAGTTCTTTTACTGACGTAATCTGATAGTAGAAGCTTACTTAAAACTCCTAGATAAATGTGAACAGTTTTGACACTGCCATTATTCGATAAGTGCAGAACACCGTTTTCCAAATGGCTCGAAATTCAAAATTAATTCACTTGAATTGGACGAAGGCATGAAATTAAGTTGTGTGAACATAACTTAAGATATTGTATAACTATTTCACTGAATGAAGTCCGATATCTGTACCATAGGAGTAGAGAAGAACTATAAAATACAAACGTTTAACAGGGTTCTTGAGATGAAATAACTTATAAGTGTTTATGTTTTGTTTTGGCAAATTTTTTCCCCGCGTTAAATATTTTAATCGAATAACTAAAGAAAACATAAATTTCGTAGCTCCGTTAAAAAAAAAAAAAACTGTTATCTAAAGCTTTGTCTCGCTATATTGTTTATAAACCAAAAATTTAACATAGCATACGTTACCAACTCTGTCTAAATTATATTTAATTCTAATTATAATTAACAAAAAATTGATGCCCTAGAACGTCATATAAACATATATACATACATACATAATTTGCGTAAAATTAAATGAAGAAATTTCTCTGCATTATTGACTTTTTACGTTTTCCCGCAATTGAAACTAAGAAACGATTATAGAATATATGTATGTATATGTGTGTAATTTATGTACGATATATACACTAGTTATCAAATTAGTGACTTTGAAACGATACAACAAATTCGACTGACGAATACAAAACAATTGATGGGAACAAGTAACCAATTAAATTAAGTATATTAAGTATTGGACTGAAATGCGAAATTATTTATAAAAAAAATTAACAATTTAAAACACATACTTTTTTGGCGTATTCGGCACTATATATTTATAGTTTTTACAAATTAAATTTATTAAAAAAATAGCACATTTTTGGTGTTTAACTTAATAAATATTAATGACTTAGTGAACTTGATTGTGTTGCGTAAACATTATTATTAATTAAGTTGCGTAACTGATCCGGCAACGCGTTTTAAACTTAAGTTACTATGAATTATAGGAATAAAATGAGCAATTCTAGTGGTTGTATGCGCATTACACTGCAGCAAATGGATTCTTTAGGTACACGCATATTAAAAATCGGTCTAACGAACATTTTCGTTTACTCCAATGCCGTTATCGTTTAAGACGTAGGCAACTTGCTACAAATAACCGAATAACCATTGCACATAATTGTAAAGATATTGCCAACTGGCATACAACAAACAGAAATAGTTGTATTCAAGTAACTGAGCAGTTTTAAAGTTGAAGCATATGCATACTCGTATGTTTGTATATAAAGTTGTTTATGCATACGTACATACATATTAAAAACGATGGCAGGTTACAAGTCATTTAAACAGCAAAAGAAAGCATTAACAAAAAATCTATGAACAATATGTAACATGTGTATATACATACGTACATATTTACGAGTGTACATGTGTATGTATGTGTATGCCAGAATTTCCTAAAAGTACAGTTAAACTATTCGATATCGTACAAATTGAAATAAATAAAATATTGTCATTTGTTTTAAGACGCAAAAGTAGGGTTCTTAAATAAATATATTTAATACACATACATACATACATATTGTAAAAGTACATATTATAAAACAAAAAACCTTTAAAATATAAAATAATGCGTAAATAAAGTACATATGAATTACTGATGGTTGTTTGAAGCTGAGTTTGTTCATTGTTAAAGGCTTTAATAGACAAAAAAACGAGTTCAGAAGAACAGCGGTATACTCATACATATACATACTTGTATATACTTGTCACCTATTTTATTTACCTTATGAAACGTAAGTATGTTTAACACAGCTATTTTGTATGGCTATTAGCGCGTATAACAGTACACCAAAATTTGTATTACGCATGGCTACTGGCATTTTATTTGTTTTGTATTACTACCATCCCATGTTATAGTATAAAGATTATTAAACGCAAATTTATTAAAATCTACTAAACGTAACAATTTTAAATTTCATTTCATTTTAATGTTTCATTTCACAAATTCTTGTACACATTTGAGCAATGCTACCGAATTCTAGTTTAAAAAGTGTTTCTAAAAAATATCAGCTTTTGGTTGTTAGCTGCGTTTTCTATTGTAGTATACTGAGATCAGTAGTCATGCGCAACACAAAATCTTGTTTTAGTATATAATCAGGGCAAGTAGACCCGCAATTGGGATGTAAATATATCCAATATTCGAAAAATGTTGTTCTGAGTAATCAATGTATTATTTTTCTGTTCTTTTCAGTTATCTTAAAACAAAGGTTTAAGGTACCAAATTTAATTTGCGGAACTTAATAATTATAGACTTTGGTTCTATTCTAGTTCCGATGAATTTTTATGTAGTATAGAGTATGATAATGAATGCTGCGTTCCGTAATTCGCGGATGGACTCATTTGGGTCTTCTTCGAAAATCCGTTCCACATCTAGAATAGCGTCCTTGGTGCGCACTATACGGTGTCTCTAAGGATGCGATTATCCACTGGAGTAAACGTAAACTAGCGGTTGATAATTACAAATTTTTAACCAAATTTGTGTAAGTAAGTAAGACCGTTCAAGTCTTAAAGTTTGCAAAAATATTTCTTTAGGAAAGAGCTAAACTTTGACTAATTATTTTTCTCGAGCAATCGTCCACCTATTACTCTTTGCGTTCAAGTGCGCGAATTAAAGGTCGTACGCATTACCTCACATATTTCTAAGTATTAGGGCTCTGTAAAGGAACCTATGGTTTGGAGGAGATACAAGAAAGATTTCAAAGCTATCGTTTACTATAGATGAACTAAATACTATATTTTGTGGGGAAATTTGTTTAACACTTTTTTCCCGCAAGTTCCGAAAACGTTGATCTAATTTCGGCAATTCAACATCTGTCAAACTCAATTTGCCGTCAGATGAGGTAAGTAAGGGAAATATGGTCAGTTTGAGACTTATTTAATCAGTAAGGGAACTTCTTCGCTTAAAGCTGACGATATTTTTACTACAAGCTGCGAACACTTTTGGGTAACCCTAAAACAAATGAGATGGAACTGGGCGATCGCACTAAATTGGCCAATAGCACATCAATCTAACGCCAAACGTCTGTTTAATTGTTTATAAATTGCAAACAGACAGAAGAAGCCTACAATAACAACACTACTACAACAAATCGCTGTGTTATCTGAAGTATATTCAAGGGTCGTTGCTCACAGTATTCGTTATGTAACGGAATCGTTAAGAATAGGAGTGCCGCTGTATACGACTTGTAGCAGACTAAGACTCAAGTATGATAAAAACGCTCAATGTTTCCGTTTTTGAAAATGCTTCAATTTTGTTACACAATGTAACGGCGTTAGTGACCAGCACCCACTGGCGTGTTAGCAGCATTTCTATACCGTTTAGATCAGTTAGATCGTGCAACGCACACGAGACAGTTCGAATGAATTCGAAAGCGCTACAAAATATTACCTATCTAGATAACACAGTACAGTGGAAATAAATGTTAAATGTTTTTACAAACTCACTTACGGACATAAAATTACATGCCAAAACGAGTAATACATACATATCTATGTGATTATTGCAATTAGCACTTTGATAACTAAATCGGTAAAAAGTCGCCTTGAATGGTGAATTATTTCGAGCAGTTGAATTCAAAATTAAATTGGTGCATCATTTACATTTGAGTAAAAACTTATACGAAATTATGGAGCACATTTTTAACGAATATTAAAAGGATTTACCTAGGCCAACAATACCAAATAATAAGCAATTATAAATTTTGGAGTTGAATATGTTTCAAAAGCACGCGAAGCATTCGGCCGCAATTTGGTAGTGCTCACCGAAACGAATAGCATGAATTCATGCTTCAGCGGAACGGTTTCAATCAGCGTTCATCTCATAAAAATACCGTTTTTATTTTTGTTTTGTCACACTCCGTTTTGTGTGAGTAAACCCAAACTGGAGTTGTGAACAACTGGAAGCTGAAGCATGCTTATGATTGTCCGTCGGCCACATGCGAACTGCAGCTGGTGGAGCAGTGGGTTCCTGGCTATGTCAATTCTGCAGTTGATGTCTTTGGCACGTGCACATTTCGTACAGATTGATAATAATGCATTTCGCAATAATTATTTCCCTCGTCCTCCCATCGACCCACCAGCACCAGCGCCCCCTTCGTTGACTCAAGCAGGGCAGTTGCCGCGACACTTCGACGGCAGACAACCGTCGCCAGCCGAACTCATGGCCGATTTGAGCAATGATCTCACCTACCGCATCCTTCATTATCATTCGATACTCAACAGAAACAACTTCGCCTTTTCGCCCACTGCACTGATGAGTGTGTTAATCGCCCTGTATGAGGGTTCGGCAGGTCGGAGTACTTTGGAATTGCACAAGGTGCTGATGCTCCCAAATGGTCAGGATGTAATTCGTGTAGGCTATCGAGACATTCATCGCAGGTTAAGGGTGAGTACAACTCTTGATTATTGAAATGGTGCAACTCTCCAGAGCTATCGTTGTTTATTTAATATCATGCTTATTAAATATAGATTAGCTGCTAATGTAAACAATACTTATTTATTAGAACCTGAAGGCAAGAACTCTAACCCAAGATCTGTGCAATTCATTAGTTCGAATTATAAGAATTCGCGGCAAAGAGTAGAAGGAAAGAAGATAAAATTCAGAACTTTCAAATATAACTTTATAACGGAAACTACATCTTTAATAATGTCTTCTAAAACGAGTATTTCTACAATTGCGTAATTTAAATGAGATAAATGCACCAACATTTTTCAGTTTTACTTGTATGGCTTAATCTAAAATATTACGTGTTTGGCAGTTTCAATCAAACATAATGCTCTACAATTTATTTTGCGTCATCATTGGATTTCTTAACAAATTTAAGTAGTCAGAGTGTTCCAAGGATGCTTTCTCTATTTGTGGTATTGTGGTAATTGTTAAATGAGTGTATGACTTGTTGGTTTCAATACAGAGATTCAGGATACTCTTATTGAATTGTGTATAACATTTTTCAAAACTGGATGTTCGAAAATATTAAAAATTATATTTTTTTTTAAATATTGTATATATATATAAATATATTTATAGATTTTTTATCAAAATTTCTTTTAATCTTTATTTTTTTCATCTCAATAATCAATATCATGTTCATAATAATCATTGACCTCATCCTCAAATTTGTGTTGCCATTTTTAACCACTAATCTGTTTTCATAGCGTTCAATTTTTTTTTCCTTCGTGCCTCCATTGGAACCGCATATTGGTGAAAATGTTTCCTCTGCTCATCAGATTCACTTGAAATTGGCTTTATATCTAGTCAAGATGAGCATACATTAAATCAACTTTCAACGACATGTGAACTATCGCTTTCGAAACGCCTTCCATCATGATACTCACATAGTTTCAATAATTATAAAAGAGTGTTTGCCAATGTCATTAGTAATAGTTAAGTATAATTAATGCACTTCAAGCAATTCTACCGTTCTATAAAGAATATGTTTGGTGCGCTTCGCTCAACTAATGGTCAACATAATCGGCCTACTGAGCGTACTATCCGCAACACCATCACCCATCTTGAAAACCATCATTCATTATTTTATAATATTCGACCGAATAGACCACGTCTAGCACGCAGTGAAGAAAATATAGCGGCCGTAGCTGAGAGTGTACACGAAGACCGTGGAGAGCCTGTTCGGCGCCGTTCGCAGTAATTCGGACTGACGTATGGAACGATTCCCGCATTTTACGTCGAAATCTTGAATTGACAGCGTACAAAATACAGCTTGTGCAAGAACTGAAGCCGTTCGACCTTCTTAAGCGACATCGTTTCGGGGTTCGTTTTCGAGCCAAATTTTGTTCATCGATAAGGCCCATTTCTGGCTCAATGGATATGTAAACAAGTAAAATTACCGCATTTGGGACAAAGAGCAACCTGAAGAGATTCAAGAGCTGCCATTTCATCCAGAAAAAACGAACGAGTCATCGAAAATTGGACTTAACGGATGGACCATCTGAGACGTAGCCACGGCCATTATTTGAAAGACATAATGTTCAAAAAATAAATGCCAAAGAATGTTCTTTCGAATGATAATTAACATTCCCCATTAAGTTTGAAATTTCTGTGTTTTTTTCTTTAAAAAAGTAGGGAACCTTGAAATGGATCACCCTTTACCACCAGTCATATAAGCCTGACGGAAAGGATTATGAAATAAGAGCAACAGCAAGGTGACCTTGGTTATTTTGACACTGTCTAAAAGTGTACTACGAATTTCATTCTACTTTTTCATGAAATGTTCTATGTTTGAAAACCTTACTATTAACAACAAAAGCAACCAAATTCACCTCGGAAAGTCTATAAACCTATCGAACTATTCTCAAAAAAGTAAAAACAAAAGACTTAAGTAACTTACTGGTGTTATTGCTTGCTGTTGGAAGCCTGAAAATCTTATTGCTTATATATACGACACTTATCTTTCTAATGAAGAATTCTAAAGGTCTCAAATGGACTATTAAAAAACTGCAAAGTATTTAAATACGAGGTGTAAATTTATGTCTAAGAGAAGCAAACAAAATTTTGTTTAAAAAGGGATTAGATATACTTGTATATCTAAAGACAAACATTCATTCAGAGGAGTATTAGGAACCCCCAAAAAATTACATGTTTATATATGCTTCTCTGCTCATGGATTTGGACTTTTGAAGTGCTTCACAGAAAACTTGAATGCCGTTAGAAGGATAAAATTGTATAACAAGGATTTACTGAATGATCCTGATGATGATTGTCAGGCTATAATATACAATGCGGGACATTGGAACAAGTATTGCATAAACGTCGGCTATAACATAACAATGTATTTTCTATAATTACAACATTTTTCGCAACAAAAACTAGCTACATGTTGGAAAACCAAAATTTTTTGAATGAATTTTAAGTTAACGATTCAAACTAGATTTAAAAAAAATTGTTGCAATTCTTTTTCCAATAAACAAATTTTATGGTGTTTGCACTCATCAAATTATACCTGACCACATTCCTGAAATACAAGGAATGGCTAAATTCGAAGACTAAATCTAAAGCTCCTTCTTCAAAAATAAAATATTAATATGTTTTAAACTCGAAACGAGAAATTAATGCAGCGGTAACAATTCGATTTTAAATTTTTCAGGTGCATTTTGATAATGAAAAAGGATTCATGACTAAAACATAACGATCTAAGTCTTCATGTCTTTCATTAATGACAAATAAAATTTTCCTTTATAATAATAACAACTCTGGACCCATAATATACATAAAAACCCAAATATCAAAGTAAAGTAATGCTATTTCGAATCTCACAGCATGGGAGCACGCTAATGTGATCGTAGTTTAACAGTTCAATGAACTAATAAAAGTATCAACATGCGAAATTGGAGCTTAAATCCCAATATGCTCGCATTCACAAATACATAAGTACAAGTATACACGTACATATCTACATAGACGTTCAAAACAAAATATTGGTAACATTAAAAATATACAAATACAAGTAAGTAAGTGCGTATGCAAATAAAACAAGAAACGAGAAAAAATGTTAACTTCGGTTGCGCCGAAACTATAATACCCTTCACAGGTGCAGTTCTTACAGCGGAAAGGAGTATACAAAGTTCTTTATCTTGGTTTTGATCGGTCAGTTTGTATGGCAGCTATATGCTATAGTAGTCCGATTTGAACAATTGTATCGTTGTCTTGAACAATAATTCATGCTAAAATTCGTGAAGATATCTCATCAAGTAGAAAAGTTTGTCGTACAAGGGCATGTATTTAATCGTTATAGTTATGTACTATAGTGGTCCGATACTGACGAACCAAAAACTTTTCCAGCCGACTAATGTGTTGTCAGGACGGTTTTCTGTGAATTGGAACATTACAGTTGGACTCAGTTGCGTAATGATCTATCCACTTTTCACCCACTCTCACAAATCGGTGGAGAAATATGTTTTATTACGATTGATCAATACTAGAATGTTTTTCTGTATCCATATAGAAGTTTTACAAAGACAAAATGCACACTGATTATATCAAACAAATTATCAACTTACATATATCACTAAATGTTGGAGTGAACTTTCTACTCGATGCCAAAAATAATAATTCCGAAGTGAGTTTTCTCACATTTTATACCAATTATTACCAGAATTAATACAAAACCTTGGTATTTTTAGTTTATCATATAAAAAAATTTAGCTCGAAAATTGCTACAAAATTTGAGAAAATGTATATGTTTTTATGAAGCCTAAAGGTATATTATTGCTAATTTAAAGCAGGATAACATATCACATTAATATATACTTGCATATTTTTTTATATTTTACATCCCTTAGCACATACGAGTATACATATATCAAATATACTTTCAGACATACTTTTTTGGATCCGAGAACCCGCTAAAAGGTCTAAGTCTTAATAAAGATAATGTAACCATTACTCATGGGTATGAGGCTGTTTTGACATTTTATGGTTATGATTTGGGAATGGATATGGTATCCTCTACAGTCTCTGCGCCGTCTTCTACAACTTCCTTGCCGAATATAACTGATGAAATAACAATGACGACAACAACAAGCCTCCCAAAAACTTACACAACAATTGTTCCAAACTCCCCCATGGAGGACATTACTGAAAAAATATCGACAAAGGAAAGCAATATAGTCACCACCACAAAACCGAAAACAACAACTTCTCCTCCAATTATAACCACAGAAACCGAAACTATTGCTAATACAAGAACTGAAGATAAATCAACAACAGAAAAAATTATCACTACAACAGAAATGGTAACTCCAGAAGATATTACCACAGTGAACCCACCAACAACAACGACAACAACTGAAGAAGTCACTACAGAAACAAATGATGACACAACAACAGTAACTACCGCACCAATAACGGAAAACAACGCTGATGCGGCCGAATTCGTATCTCCAACATCCATTGAATTTAACTCAAGCCCATTTCAGCGGTTACAGAAGATGCGACCAATACATACACCAAGCTCAAAACTGCAAGCCCCTATATCACCAATTTCAACACCGAAATATAATTACTTGCCACAGTACGCGCGTTCCCGAAGTGGTCGACACAAACGGCATTCAACCGGTTTCAAAGAGATCGACACAAATCTGTTCGTGACGCTCTTTAACCCTCAGCATCAGCTGCACCATGATTTTTACGCAATAACTCAGCCAATAAGTGGGTCTGCCACGCTGGGACAATACACTAGTGAGTTTGATGTCGAAACTTTGGATGCACGACTTTTGAAATTGGCGAACGCCAGAAGCAATTATGGCTACAATACCGATGTCATTAGCCACGTATTCTACTTGGGGAACCAACAACTAGTTCACACTACGTTCAAGGTCTACAACGCAGTGTTGTATTTTAAATATTTTGAAAATTTAAAAATGAGCGCTCTTGAACTAGAATTGGATACACCGGATTATAACTTGATCATTTTGCTACCAGATTCTCCTGTAGATTTATTATCAACAACGGCTTCACTTGGTTTGGCCCCGTCTTTGCGGCTGATGAGAAAACAACTAAAACCTAGATGGGTTCAAGCGATAATTCCGGACTTTAAATTACATGGAATAATATTTCTGACCAATGACCTTCAAAATGTAAGTTGCTTAAGTCGATACCAGTACTATTATGTACATAAACTCATAAAACATACATACTTGTACACTACAAGTATATTGAAAATACCTTTAAAGCTTCGCTAATCTAAGTGGCGGCTTTATACATTTTATCAAATTTGACCAATATTAGAAGGGTACCTGAAAGCATCCAAAATGTAACCATTATATTCGCAGAAAAATTTTATTCAACCTGAAGAAAGTTTTAAGTCAAAAATAGTCGTTGTGCTGTTACTGGTTACTGGTTACTGGTGGTCTTTTCATACTCTCCAAACATGTTGCTTTAGAGTGTAATAGTTTTGTTCACCTAACGGTTTTTTATAACACCTAAAACTAACATAGATGATCAGATGACGAGTAGTCGAATTCCGATTGATGTCTGTACGTTCAAGCGACAACTTGAGTAAACATTAAGATATTTTAATGAAACTTGGTACACGTCATTCTTGGCATCATTAGAAGGTTAGTAGTACAATTAGCACAAAATGCCGTTAATATTTAAAGTGCTATAGCTAAGCTCCAAATTAAGATAAAATACCGCAATTTCATGCAGGGTAGCTAAGTAGAGAAGGGAATCTAGTTTAAGGTACATATCTCACAGACCACTTTAACAAACAACTTTGTTAAGAACGAATCACATTAGTACCTCTTCAAATAATGGGAAAATGTGTGAAATGGGATGATAACCACGCCCACTCCCTATATTACGGTTATAATGAAAACTACTAAAAGAGCGATTAACCTTTGTGTGGAATTCGATATCTCAGAAACGACTCCACCAATCGCCATCAAATTTTACAATATAAAAATCGGAATTAGACAAATAGTGCCTTTAAGGTACGCTAGCAAACATCCCAAAATTGTTGAAACCGGACCATTAATTTTCAAATACCGTATATGTGGACACCAGTCCCTATACCTTTTACTGAAAATATATGTAAATACGTGAGATATATCTTTATACAGTATATATCGTATAGTGCTACTGCCTCTGGACTGGAAAGCAGATTGTTTGAGCTTAACCAGTCCGTTATGAAGGCATATCACAGCTGTCCCCTAAAGACGATCACCAAGAGGCGTAGCTGTGGTACTTAGATGGATAGAGGCCGTACTGCGCACTAGGTTAGCAAAAACCATAGTAGGAGATATTAGTATTCGTCTCGACACAAAAAGAGGCTGTCCATAAGGTGGAGTGCTATTCCCCCATTATAGAGCCCCCAGGGGTCCCATTGTCAAGGATATGCGGATGACATTGTGATATTGCACAAAGATCTGGCAAAAGAACGGTGCAGTGAGGTTGGTTTAAACATCAACCCCTCGAAAACTACCATCGTCCCGTTCACCAGACGAAGGTCCCTTCCCGACCTGAGAAACTTATCCCTTGGCGGCAGAGAGCTAGAGATGACAAATGTGGTCAAATATCTGCGGTTTACCCTGGATTCGACTCTGCGATGGAAGCAGCATGTGGATTTAGCCATAGTCAAAGCTACAAAAGCACTCATGGTGTGCAATCGACTTCCCGGAAAATCCTGAGGCTGCAAGCCTACTCTTATAAATTGGATGTACACCATGATCGTGAGATCAATTACTACGCATGGAGCGGTGGTCTGGCCTTTTAAACCAACGCAGACTCCGGTAGGACTTCAACTATCAAATCTGCAACAACTTGCCTGCATCTGCGCATTGGGTGTAATTGGTGCACGAGTCGCCGGACCGCGCACCAAACTCTCTATACCTATGGGTAGTTTTCCGAGCATCTTTCGAACAGAAGTTTATACTATAACTCGGTGTGTAGAGATAACCCTCCAACCCAACTAGCGCAACAAAAGTATCACCATCTCAGCGATCGCCGAGCGGCACTCAAAACGATCTCTGCTTATGAGATTTAATCGCTATGCGCTTGTAGTACAGGTAAAAGGTGGCTTAAGCATTATCCTTAATATGTAAGTCGTTCGATGGGTCCTTAGGTCCAATAATTTTACTACCCTTTGGGTCAAAGTTTAAGTTCTGGTACACGAATGGTTTTTTTTTTTTTTGTAATTTCAGATGGGTGTGTGTGATATATTTGAGCCAAATCGTGCGGATTTTCGACCCATGACAGACGAGAAAGGAATTTACGTAAAGCACATTGAACAATCGATTAACGTTAATATACGAACACATCCAATAAACCAGTTAAAACGTAAGTATATCTCAAATTTTTAATTACTTCATAAAGATATATATATACATATACATATATATACATATACATATATATACATATACATATATATATATATAAGATCAAACGCTTTTAAATTGAACATATTTATATTTCATTAGAAGATACAAAAGTTGTTGTTGTTATTGCTGTTCAGTTAACAATTTTTATTTCCATGTTATTAAATATCATTTATTTTTTTTATTCAAGGTAATTACGGACCTCAAACGTCGCCTATTCAGATATCTGTAAACCATCCCTTTCTATTTTTTGTAATCGACCGAGATCTAGATATTGCTGTAATGGCCGGTCGTATTTTAAATCCTTTGAATGTACGAATACAGTAATGTCAAACAGTTCACAGTAACAACAGTACGCCGTACTTCTATAAAATGTAGCCAATTTTGGAGATTATGCAACAATAGCGGATAAATTGAATGATAAGTATATTAATTACTGTAATATAACTTAATTTTCTCTTTAGATAGAATAATTATAGTATATTTAACAGTATTTAAAATTAGTTCACTCAATCTTTAAATTTATTTTCGAAATATGTCTAATTAGGTATGAACACAGGGGGTGGTTAATATGAATATATGCGGAATATGATCTAATTAAAAAAAAAATCGGGGATTAAGATAGCGAAAAATTCAATATGGAAATATACCAAGTTCAAATACTCAAAGCCAATTTAAGTACATATAATTTTAGGATTAGGTGAAATTAATGTGATTAATCCTGTTTAGGGCTAAGTTATGTAATATTTGTAGTTTGAGATTTTGAATTTGTTTGTCTTTTCTGTAAAATATGTGATCACGTTTTTGTTGTATCCGCAACATTTTCAATCTTTCTCTTTCCACAGCAATTCGATACAAATGCAATTGCCGAATCCGTTGAGAACGAGTCCGTGGTGAATGACCGTTAATACGAAGGCGTATATGTCGCAACCTTTTCGATTTACAGTTGCATTTATGACTTGTTTGCATATTTTGCGTTTGATTTTTCGATTCAGCAACCTCAGTTTCAACAATAGGTGTTGAATTTACGTTAAAAAATTGTGGCCCTTCATACATTCGTTTAATTACTCCGTGATTAATTGGCATTGATGCCGAAATCGGTTCACGTAAACCAAAATATTCACTCCGATTTTTATTTATTTGCTTACCGGAAGACGAGGTTTCAAAATCGTCTAATGAAATTGCCTTTTCAATCTTTATTGCGACCTCTTGTATTGGTGGTGGCATAACGTAAAAATTATGCCCATTTATTGTTGCGTCTTGAGCTGTAAATGAAATACCATAAATGTTTTTTTTGTTAATAAGTTATTAAATCCGACTCCATCATTACCCATTGGTTCTGATGAGCAACCAGGTAATGTCATATGTTTAATCTCTTGTGCAAAACCCTTTGCTAATGCATCTTTCACTTTTTTAGCCTCAGCTGCACGTATACGTCCCAATTGTTGTTTTAACCTATCTTTCGATCGTTGATAGCCAGCCGCCCGCATATTAGTTGCTATATCATCCCATGCCTCCGATTTCTTCTTTATTGTCATTGTATCACTTCCTTTATTTTCTAAAATAACTTGGTGAATACGCGTTAAAGATAGTAGCATTTGTTTTTCCGCTTCGGTCCAATTTGGTTGTCGTTCCCTTTTTTCTTTCATTTTGATGTTAGAAGCTACTACTACAATAAGAATATATAGTTAACAATATTCTTTCACTTGCAAACAATTATAGTTTATATTTACCACATAAATCCATAACTCTATTTAGAGTACCTTCCAAAACTTTCATAGAAATATCTAGTGTTAATGCCAGTAATTAATTTTTAAATGCGTACCGGTATTTTGATGTAACCTTTTCAAAAATTTAAGTTCTTTATTATGTTCCCCACAGAAAAAATAAAATAAGAGTGCTGCCAGAGTTTCAAAGTACTATTCTACTAAGATAACGGAACGAAAGTTAAAATGTTGCTAACACAATGTTGATGCAACATAATAATTTCTACTATAAATTATTCCATGTACATCTACATTAGCTCATTCATGTTTAATTAAAATATGCACGAAATACTTCTTTTTGATTTTATTTATTTCTCGTTTGAATATTCTAAGGTATATAAAAAGTTAGCTACAATTGATTATCCGAAACATAAAACTTCCGACGTGCTACTATTGCCACCTACATGTATGTACATACATTGCAAAATACATTAATTATTATGTACAATATATCTCATTTGTCAGAAAAGTACAATTGATGAACAGATACACTTTCTTTTAATAAATTATGGAATTTATTTTAGAAATTTCGCTCTACAACATTTCTTAAACCAATAAACTAAGAAGAGGCAACGAGGACTCATTTACAAAAGTTTGTAAAAACCGAAAAATGGTGTAGATAGAAATTTAATATTTCATTTACCACGCGTTATTCGCGTATAGTTTTTAAAAACATCACAAATTTTTACAAGAGTTATATTGTTTGTACATTGTCTGATATTAGGTCGGCTTGTGTTTTGAATATATTACTTGTAATTATGTATGAACATATGTATATGTAGTTAATATAAATACACACCAAATACGGTACAAACACAAAATAAGCTGGCATTCGTAAATACATCGGATGTATGGGAATCAGCTTCGGCATCCCAACAGCATTTTGCTATATACCGGCAACCAGCACCTAGCTGTTGACCCAATGTTACTTGTACAACATGCTTAAAGCGGGGCATTTGAACAATATCTTTTACGGCGGAACTGACTTCATCAGAAATCTCTCGTGTCCACTTACGAGCGTCATCTGGATTATATACTTTCCCTAAAAAATAAAATATACTTTTCTTTATAAAAGTCTAAGAAAATCAAAATAAACAAAGCATGTATGTAGTATTACCCTGCAGTTTATCATATATTGTGGACTGGATAATACTTTTGATATGAGATGCTGGGAAAAGTTCTCTTAAGGAGGGTTTCATCCGATATGACGTTACAGGCAAATTTGGTCCTACTTCTTCGGTTGCATCCTCAACTATTAGCAAGTCAGCTGCATCACCAACATCTGTAACGCGCCTATCATCGTAATCGCCTTCCGCATCCATTTTATATATTATATTAATACTAATTTTTTAACAAATAAATAAACTTTAAAATGTATTTTTTAGTCCCAAATGTGTATACTGAAGTAAGTTGCCTAGCAATATTTTAATAAAAATCAAAAATCAACGATGCACAAGTAAATCAAAAATAAATACAATGAAGCAATCAATTTGTTTATCTTAGAGGTTGCCATATGTATACATTTTTCTTAATAACGTTAGTTGGGTTTTACAAAAGTTCAACGCGAACGTAAGTCAAATAGCGTAATTTCAGCTTATTCTAATTGAACAACTTTTTCAAATTAATTTTAAAAAATTAAGAAATATATCTAAACTAAACTATCGCATAAGTGTTTGTTTCAGTTTTTGTTTTTGTCTTTCTTTTTCAGTTATCAAACTTTACACCTCAATTGGAACACAGACTTCGAACAGAGAACGTATATCATATATATATATATATACGTTCTCTGCTATATATATATATGATATACGTTCTCTGCTTCGAATACTTAACGTCACTGCCATAAACTGTGCTTACATTGGGACTCTTTTGACCCTCATTGTCAGCAAATTCTCTTTTGGTGTCGCTCTGTGCATTCACACGAGCAAAACGAGTTCAGCAACTCAAATCGAGTTTTTCTGTCATTCCTTTTCATAAAATTTTGTGCGGTTCGGCTCGCGACACTTAGAGTGTGTTGCATATGTAATTTGTATGTTGGGATGATCGTCTCACATTGTGCTCGCAAAGAATTACCATGTACCCACTTAATAGTTTCAAAGAAATACTTAAGTCGGGAACTCCCTTATCCACCAGAATGTATTGAATTCCCGCTACAAATATTTTTAAAGCCGAATTTATAACAGGAATTTCCTAATCTTTAAATATTAAAAACCTTTAATTTTTTTATTCCATATTTTTTTCTATTTATTATAAAACATCCTTGAATAAGTTACAATTCTTGTTTTAAATAAAATGATATTCGAAATAAATTCTTTGTGGTTATGCGGTAAGTTATTAAAAATTAAAATTGAATTTTGAGTATCTTAATTTTCTCCTTATTTACAATTTTTCAAAGTATTTTTGTTATTCTATGCAGAGTTCTAGATAACAATATTCAAATTTCTGAACGAATGGTATAGATTCATTTGAAACCGAGCACTCTTGCAACCATTCAAAGAATTTGAAAATGAAAAGGAATGCTGAAAAGGGTAGCAGCGAGCTGTTACGAACAGAAACTGCTTGGAGACGAGCTCGTTATGTTCCTTGGCCGGAAGCATACGGGCCTCACTATGTAGGTGTTCGATTGGGGACATCAAGAATCATCCAGGCGACCATATTGGGGCAGCGTAGTTTATGATCGACCGGCCGATTGCCTCATAAGTAGCCAACAAAGTTTCTTTGCCTATCCCCCAAGAGCTGCCGGCAAGCGATTTGAGAATTTTGTTGCGGCTGTATACTCTGGCAGTTATCGCGATCGTGTGAGGAGTGAAGGAACACAGCCTGTCGAATGTAACACCTACAATTTTAGGGTTGTTGACCGTCAGAATTTTAATGCCATTGACTGAAATGTTTAGATCCAGTCTGTACTCCCTCGTCCAAAAATGTTCGCTGTGGATTTAGTGGGAGAGTGTCAGACTTCTAGCAGAGAAGAGGCGAGAAAGGTCGGAGAGATAGCCATTTACTTTCGAGCACATGCCATCGATTACATTGCCGGATATCAATATAGTGCAGTCATCAACGTACGAGGTTATTGAAATTCCCTCTGGTGATTGAGGGATTTTTGAGATGTATCATAAGTAAGAGTATTAAATATATGTCTGTCTTAACCATTACATCATATTGTAACTGATTTTTATAGAACTGTGGCTGCTGCTGCTCCGGCAGCTCTTATATAATAGATTACATGGGATTCGTCGGGTAAAAGAAGGCCTATTTTTTTCTATATAAAAAATTATTTATTTCAATCAAACTTTTTTCTTTCTAAAGATACACATTTAAAGAATAATTTAAGAGATTTACAAAAAAAAAATTAAAACTCCGTCATTTCCGGTGACTCCTCGAAAAAAGTTCGTCCGCGTTGTCAGCATAACTACTGACTGGATCATCTAAAATGAAAAAAAATGTGTTTTTTAGTTAGTTTTCCAACAAAATTAAAATTTCTGTAAAATTTGCTCGACATTTCTATTTATAAAATAGTTGTAAGTGAAAACAAAAAAAATCCTTCGTCCAAGCACGAGTAAATTGTATCTCAAACACCTGTATACAATTTCACCAAGATCGGCTGAGTAGTTTTCGAGAACTTTTGACAACCGACTTTGACAAATTATAGTGACCTCGAGCGTGCAACTTTTCAAAGCTCAAAGCAACTTTTACCTCCAAAACTATTTCTGGGATCAACTTGAGAATTGATGACAATATTCTAGAGATGTTATAGAATGAAATAACACAATTAAAATTTTTTTTGGTTTTGAAACCGTGAATCCCATGTAACTCCTTAACAAAATATCGCCTCTAGAACATTCTGGCAACTATGAATTCGCTAACTAGTTGATTCTGGTAATTTATCGTCGATTCGATTTTGTTCTATCGTCCGTTTACGTCACAGTATTTTTTAAAACAATCGAGCAGGTTGGTAGCACCAGTCTTGACGTCCAATTTCTTTTATCCACACTTCTTTTTAACTGCTTTTCTGACACTTCCGTTGAAAATTGCGCGTTTGTGAGATGTACTATTGGGTGTTATAAAAGAAAAATTTACCAAAAATAATAAAATATAACATTTTTTGTTTAAAAATTGTTTTAGAAATAAAGGCAATGGACTTAGTTTGCGTTTAAACACCGAATTCATAAAAAGTTTGCGTGAAATAAGTAAAATATAAACATTTAAAATTATCTGGAAGAAATTTTTCACTTCTCTTATTTTGCCTTTTGCTTTAGTTCGACATTTTCTATGTTCATCTTGTTTCGAGCTTTCGCGTTTTTTGTTTATTTAATTTAACGCAAGCGCTTTTCGACAGTAGAACCGGCGATTATAGCAAAAACATGAATACTAACACTTAAAAAAATTTGGATACAAATCGACGGTTTGTAGTGTTTAATTTATTGAATTCTCTATTATATTTAATTAATAATAAACCATTTTTCCCTGTGCGATGTAGATTCATTCCGATGTCTAGTTCAGTATTTATTGAAAGTTGTACCAAAGCCTTCAAGGGCGGTATAGGATCAGAAAATGAAGTTGCGATTTCAGGTTCCCCTGATTCGAATTTGGTAGTGGTATATGGAAAAAATGGAGTCAACTTTGACAAACGTGGCATAGAAAATTTGATTGGTGGGTACCAACCTATTATTTTATTTCTTGTATAAACTTTATCATGTTTTAATATATGTATCTTAGAGGAGAAAACTTTGTCATCAATAAGTGTTATTCGATTGAGCTCTCCCACACCTAGTATGTTGGATGAAGAAGAAGAGGCCGAGAAAGCAGACGAACTTTTACGTAGACATGCTGAAGGATTATCCGACGATGATTCAAGTAGAAGTAGCAATAATGGCTCCTGTGTTGAGGGCGCAGAATATTCTGAAAGTGATGAAGTTCCTACGGCTGATGATGAAAAGAGTGACGCTGATGGTGAAAATTCTGGAGATAATGGTAAAATGGAAAATCGCAAGAAGAAACAGAAAAACAGACGAAAAAATCGCAGCACTACAAAAATACAAAATATTAAATGCAAAAAACATAAGGAACGCCCAGATATTATTGGTCTCACAGTGGAGGAGTTTTATCCAGCGGTATCTGCAAAGGAAGTAGTGAAAGAAGCTCTAAGTAAGAAATAACGATTAATTAATTGTATTATATTTTTACAAACTAATCCTTTTAGAACTAGCAGGAGTGTCAACATTTAAGAAAACGGCTGATTATGAATTCCAAATGTATGTCATTAAGAACGATCACTGTTACACTCCATTTACTTCACCTGCACAAATGAAAGCCAAACTTGCTGAAAAATATAAAGCAGAAAAGCTTGCAGGACGTAGAATCATTCCACACACTGCTGTGACTATGAAACAAATACAATTGAAAAAGAAAGTCATGGAAGGGTTGCTCGATCATTTGGATCAATCCACTCACTCTAATAAAGATCAACATATGAAAATATTAAATAGGCCTGCAAGGTTAAATAAACAAGCTGAGAGAGATGCTTTTGTTGAGGGCGAAGTCGACATGCATAGTTCAACAGCGGAATCTGACTTTGATGTACTTAGCGAGGAATCTGGGGATACCGATAATGATCGTGATAGTGATTTGGACTTTAATGTTAACAACAGAAAAGGTCGAAAGAAGAAAGATCTTGTTACGAAAGCAAAAAGACTATCTGCTGGTAAAGTATGTGTTAAGCGTATTATCACATCGCAAGATGACGGAGATGATCTGCGTAATAAGAACACACGACCGATTTCAAATAATTTTGTTAAATGCCCAAATAAAATTGGATTAAATAGCAAACCAGGAGGAGGTTGCGCTCCAATAGCAGTGCAGAAACTACTTTCAGATGCTGTTGCTGCTTTACCACCTATTCCAAAGAAATCTGCCGCAGTACAAATAGAAGAAAAAGTTATTAATATGTCGGGTCGGTCGCAAACTATACAGAGTGCTATACGCAGAGGTCCTACAATAGAGATACAACATGGGATACAAAAAACTCCAATGGCTCGTACGCACTTGCAAGGATCTCCACAGTCTGTAAAAGAAATCGTTATCAATAAGGTAATATAAATGGTATTTATCAATCCAAGAATACTGCAGCAATTTTGTTTTTAGGTTATGGCAAGTCCAAAAGGTGGATTCACCGAATTAGGTGAATTATTATCTCAAACAGAGACCAAAACCTCGAGAACGACACCTCTTACTCCCACTGACAGCAATAAAGGTCCTGGAATAAAGCAAAAGAATATACCATCACCATCAAAAGGTTTTATGCCTTTGGGAATTGAAACTGCTGCCAAGAATAAACTGCCCATACAAATTTCAATTCAAACTCATCAGAGCTCTTCAGAACTGGCAAAGAGTAGAATTATCATGGAATCACTGCCACTTATTCAACAGAATGATACATCACCCAACAAATCTTCAACGCAATGTACCGAAAATGAGCCAAGCTCATCTGAATTAGCGTCTGAGCATTTTGATCTCATAGATTCTATTGTAAACGACGAAATGCAAAAGGATTCCCTGATGGAAGTGACATCGAAATCAAATGAAAATATACCGAAACTTGTAAAAATGTTAGAGAATGCCGAACAATCATTGGAGTCAAACGCCACAAACCACCAAATCGATAACAATCTACGTAATTTCGGTACAACTTCAGAGGGGAATGTAGATGATATTGATATCTCTAATGCGCCACTTTTAGAATCAACTGATGGCGTTGAAATACCGGACGATTTACTTCAGCAAGTTGTAGATCTCATTGAAGATGATGAAACTTTGCAAGAAGCGGT